CTGCAATAAAATCCCAGTTGGGCGGCCTGAACTGTAAAATGGATCACATGAGTGAGTTAGTCAACTCTTCGAGCGAGATGGAAGTTGATCCTGTCAATAAAGGTGATCTAGAAGATCAGATAGCGGACTTAAGGAAGAAAATAGGAGAGGCATGTTACATAAACTTTAATTTTTGGCTTTATCACTTCCTGCGTAATCTTTATTGAAATTTTAGATGAATAAGAAGCTTGAACACTTAAAGGACGTCGCTCTTTCATCAAGAAACGAGGGAGATGAAATCGAAAAGAAGCTGGAAAGTCTGCTTGACCTTGCCCTCAATGCGAAATCTGAGATTGATCAGGTTTATATTTCCTTATGTGATAAATTTCCTATGGCTTTGTTCGGCATGTTGAGAACAGTACTGCCGAATATTTTTCCGATATTCTTCAAGGCAAAAGAGTAAAGTCAAAATATAGCCCTTGTATGTTGATCCACATGCGTTTAATGGTTGAATTGCAATGAAGATAAGTCATGAGTAGGAATTTTTCATTTAGCTCCTTTGAACTTTAAGACGCTTACTTGTGTTACATGAACATGAATAGAAACTATAGATTGTGGACAATATTCTTCTTTTTTAGGCCGCACCCATATCAGCTGATTCGAACCGTCTTCAAGAACAAGCGAATTCGTTAAGCGCTTTACTGGCTAAAATCGCCGATGTTGAAGGCGATTTTCCCTACGTTCGGTAAGATTCAAATGCTCAAGTGCTACTTCAACGTATGAATATATCTGATAACAATTCAGGGCAGTAGTTGGTGAGCGATTGAAGAAGGCCCCCGACGATGAGTTACAGTCAAAACTTCAACAACTTTCGACAAGTTGGAATCCAGCTGTTGCTGCTGTTAAGGAGAGAAGTTCCGCTGTAGCGAAGGTTTGTTAGTAACAAAATTTCTACTATAGACTTTGGAAAATTTACCTGGACGCCATCTAAAGCATCGCCTGTTAATGTCATTTGGTTTTTGTGATAAAGTCACTATAAAAAAAATGTGTTGGATGCAGGAATTTGAATCTTGGTATAGATTTAGTTAATGTAAAATTGCGACTGTTTGAACTGTTCAATTTTTGCTGCTACCGAGTACTCTCCAAACCCATAGCTTGTTCCAATCTTCTAGGCGATCAGTCACACAAATTCTTAGTGTCGCCTCGCCATATTACGCAATGAATATAACTGCACTTAGCCTCAGGATATATTCTATTACAAAACAGAATGTCATAGCTGTCTATTGAATATAGACTTTTTCCATTTGAAACCCTACCTATGCGTATCTTCCATCTAGAACTTTCCGTATGATTGCCAAGCTTGCTGAAATTTTTTTAAAGCATACGTAGCACGCATTGAGCAGTGATTGGAA